CAAAAGAGAGCAGGATGGTTCTACTAATATCAGACCAAATAGACTTTAAATAAAAATGTTACAAGAGACAAAGTACATTCTGTATTAAGCAAAAGTTCAATACAACAAGAAGATAGAATTATAAACCATTCGGGGTGCCTGGGTGGTTGTCAGTTACACACCTGATTCTTGATTTCAGCTCAGGTCATGATCTCAGGGTCATGGGATGGAGACCTGTGTTGGGCTCTGAGCTCTGTGTGGAGTCTGCTTATCTCTCTCCCACTGCTCCTCCCCTCCCCACTCTTTCTCTTGCTTTATCTCTAAAATGAATATATAAAATCCTTAAAAAAATTATTAACCTTTACATACCTGATAATAGATCATGAACATATATGATGCAAAAACTGACAGAATGGAGGGTAGAGACAGACCAGACAAGGTGACTGTTGAGGGCAGAGTGAATATGGAATGGCATCTTAGTCCGTTCATCTGCTATAACAAAATATCACAGGCAGGGGAACTCATAAACAATGGAAATTTACTTCTCAAACTTCTAAAGGCTAGAAGTCCAAGATCAGGGTGCCAGCATGGTGGGGAAAGGGCCCTCTTCTGGGTCCAGACTTCTCGTTATATCCTCACATGGTGGAAGGGGCTAGGGAGCTCTCTGGAGTCTCTTTTATAAGAGTCCCATTTATAAGGGCTCCACCCCCATGACCTAATCACCTCCCAAAGGCCCCACCTCCTAGTACCATCATATTGGTCATTAGAATTTCAACATATTAACTGGGGGGACCCTAAACATTGAGACCACAGCAAATGGGTAATGGGAAAGGTAGTTATAAATGTAATTATAAATGCCAGCTGTGAGCAGGTGCAGAAGTAAGAACTGTAGTAGCTATACTTGTAGAAAGAAAGACTTATTTCTTCCCTTTTTTGAAATGAATATGTTTGTGTGTGTGTGTATATATATACATACCACATATTTTTATTTTCTTTCCTTCTTTCCCCTTGTTAGCTAACATAGGATGTGTTCATAGTAGTTATCTTGTAGTTTACATATTGAGCAATAAAGCTATCAAAGCTGTAGAATCAGCTATGAGAAGAATGAGCATCAACCAATAACAACAAAAAAAGATATATTCTATCTTCTCCTTAGGAAAGGGCTAGCAAATTCTGAGTTTTAGCTGGCACAGATGTATACTTTAGTTAAAGCTTGACTCTGTTATTCTCTTTATTTGGAGACTAAGTATGGTTTGAGGAGATGTGTATGTGCAGGGTGACAAAGGGTAGACTGGTGCGGTGGCTTCATAATGTATCGACTTGCTTGCATTGAACTACATTTCCCAGAATACCCTTCTCAGTGGGCTTTCAGTAAGGTTGAGCCCATAGGAGGGATTCTTATGGAAGATTTGGGGCAGCAGGAAGTAGCAGCCTCTTAGAAGCTCATACATGCTGTCCTTTATCTGCTGGCTCACTCCGTTGGTCCTACAACTGCTCCACCTTCCCCTGGATCCTCCTTCAGCTTCCTAGCTCCCGGGCTAGGTGTGTGTTTAGCCCCCTGATGAAGGGCTCTGACTCCAGCAGGACACACACACCACCAAGGTTGTCAGAGGCAAGAGGAACTGACATAGGCTCAGTCCATCCTCATGGACTCCAGTCTGTCCTGCGTGCTCCTGCTAATTCTTGCTCTCCCTGACCTGACGTCCATCTTCCCTTCCTGCCTGCCTGCCCTGTGGTCTCCAAGTTCCCATATCAGACTCAAAGAAAACACCCTGACAGAGACTGCTTCATTCGCTCCCCGGATTGCATAAGATCAGATCCAGTAACAAGTGCCTTCATAGCTATTTATAAATATAGCTTAGTGGTTCTGCTTCTCCAGTTGAATCCTGACTGATACACCCACCAAATTCTTGCAACTTCAGAACCAGAGCCTAGAACGTGGGCATGGCCCGATGGGTGTAGGAGATTTGGCCAGAAGAGAGTTTCTATTAGCATCTGACTGAAGCTCCCCTCCCCCAAAAGATGGGAGGATGGAATTTCACAGGGAAGAGGGGAGGGATGCCAGATTCAAAGGCTAGAAAAAGAGGAGCTATAGGGGGAAGGTTGAGAAGAGAACAAGAGAGAAGAGGAGAAAAGATTTCACTGCAGACACTTTCCTTTCCAAGAGCCAAGCCTCGGTGGCTCGTTTCCCTTAGTGGTTCAAGGAGGCAAGAAAGCTGGATAAAGTCACACCCTCAAGCCCTCTAAGCAGAGATCTGTGTGACTGACTGTAGAGGACATCTCTTGCTTCCCTCTGACCAGCAACCATTCTCTCCTCTTCGAGTAACATCCCTCATACTTTCCTTTGGGGAAAACTTGTCCCTGTGTTCAGCCCCTATAGTTTGGGCTGTGACCCCCTTTCCTAGCTCCAGGAATGGGCACATGCCCCAAGCCTGGAAAACTGTACCCTGGCCACTGCCAGAGGTTCTGGAATGGGTACCTGGTTAGGCTGAGCCAATGAGGTTCAATTCTGGGATCTTTGCTGATATTTTGTCTGGGTTACTCAGGCTTTTAATAGGACGTGAACCTGGAGTTGCCATTGTTTTTCCCAGGAGGGGGCGGGGGGAGTCAGCCTGAGAAGGAGGCCAACGTAGAGGTACGTTTGTTATGGAACCTGGACTGGATCTCCCGATGGAGGAACCAAGTGGCACTTGGAGATCTTGGAGGACAGGAGGTTTATTTAATCCCGGCGGGCTCAGAGGAGAGTGGTCTCCAAAGGTCTGAGCCCTGAGCACAAAGGGGGCAATTTATACACTTCTACTTCCGCATACTGGGCACTTTTGGCGCGTGCGTGAAGCGGAGCAAGGAGAAGAACCCGGAAGAGCCCCGGGGCAAGGACTGGGACTCTCTCGCTGGCTCGGTCGGCCATCATAGGACACAGATTTTCCTAATCATTCCCCCCTTTGATGCCCCTTTAAACACCTAGTTTACAGGGCATCATTCTGTTTGACTCTGAGGGCTGACTGCAAGGCTTGGGGCGAACACGGACTTAATCATAAACTTAACAGCACACCAGGTAGCAGAAGACCAGGACTGACTGGGGCCAGGAAAACCATAGTGAAACGCGCTCAGAAGTAGACAGCAGAGGGCCAGTAAAAGTGGGATCTATGACCTTAGGTAGAAGCCTCTGGGGGAAAGCCCAGTCAGGAGGGGCAACAGTGTAGAGTCCGACTCTCAAGATGAGGGAAATCACGCCGAAGCCAGAGTGGGTTCGTGAAGTCTGGCTGGACTCTCCACTGGCACGGCTCCTCATCCGGATGATGAGCTTTCTTCTTTCTTCCAATCTTTGACCCAAACTGAGTCCCCTGTCTGGAAGGAGTATACCTGAGACCCTAAGGAGATCGGGGCCCTCTCAAAGGTGTACTTTTGTAATTTATTTAGGGTGGCCCCCAGGGCCTGAAGCTGCTCCTTTATCTCTTTAACTCCAACCTGATGCAAGTTTCCTGGAAGGCTTCCCAAGCATGGGGGAGGACATCCATATATTAATTCGAATGGGGAGAAACCTGATGTCCTGGGCGTGCAGCGAGCATGCAGGAGAGCTAGGGGTAGCAGATCCGGCCATGGAAGTTAGTTTCCTGACAAAAACTTTGCTAAGGTTCCCTTGAGGGCTGCGATTCATTCGCTCTACTGTTCAGAGACCCTGTCTCCTCTTGCCTTGGGTTCAATCGGAGGCTAGTGTGTCCAGTGGGCTCAAAGGTTATCTGAGCCCTAAGCTTGGAGAGTATGTCTCGGCCCAGGAGAGGGATGGGACAATCAGGCAGATCATGTTGGACCTTGTGGCCCCCGAGTTCACACTGGCAATCCTGGCAAAAGTGCTGTATCGCTCATGTCCCAGTGGCCCCAAGGATGGTCTCAGTGCTTTTGCTGAAAGGGGCCACTGGGGAGGTGACAACAGAGTGCTCAGCCCCAGTATCAACCATAAAAGTCACTGGTTGGCCCCCCCACCTTCATTCTGACCGTGGGCTCATGGGGGCCAAGGAGGAAAGAGCCCGGTCCCCCTCAGTCTGAGTCCATTCCTGCAAGGCCTGTGAGGTCCTCCTCTTGGGGTTCTTCCTTGTAGCAGCTGGGCATTCGTTTTTCCAATGCCTTTTCTCTTTACAGTAGGCACACTGATCCCTTGCCAAGGGGGTTCTGGGCTTCCCCCCCTTTCGGTGGTTGGGGTCTCCCCATCTTTGTGTTGTCCTTTTCTTTCAGGGCGGCGGCAAGGAGGCTGACTTTTTCATCTTTTTGTTGGCTTCCCGTTAGGCTGTGACCTCCCTGTTCATGTAGACCTTATTGGCAATCTCTGTTAGTTGGGTGATGGTCATCCCGGCAAAACCCTCTAGTTTCTGAAGTTTTTTTCTGATGTCTGGGGCGGCCTGAGCCACGAAGGAGGTGTTTACCATCTGTTGGCTTTCCTGTGCCTCAGGGTCAAATGGAGTGTATATCCTGTAGGCTTCACATAGATCTTCTGTAGTAGTCCCCAGGGGACTCCCCTGGTGGCTGAGTGACCGAGGATACCTTAGTCATGTTCATGGGTTTCTTAGCTCCTACCTGGATTCCCCGGAGGAGGGCCTCCTGGTACCAGCGGATGTGGACCTGTCCCTCAGTTGTGGTGAAGTCCCATGCTGGGCACTCTTCCAGTGCGGCCGTGTTAGCCCAGGCAGCAGGGTCAATGACTCCCGCTGGTGCGTGCTCTTCCAGGTACTGCCGTGCACCTTTCATTATTCTCCTCCTTTCCTCTGTGTTAAACAGGGTGCAGAGTAACTGTTGGCAGCCTTCCCAGGTTGGCCAATGAGTTGGAAGAGGGATTCTATGAGGTCTACCATAGCCTGTGGTTTCTCAGAGTAGGATGGGGTGTTATGTTTCCAGTTGAGGAGGTCGGTGGTGGAGAAGGGCTGATAATACATCATGGAACAGCCAGGTTGGACCATCCCATCTTCATGGCACCTCTCGGGTTCCCGTGTCTCTCGTACCGGCATTTGGAGGGCGCTTGTGCCCAGCCTCGGGCGCAGCCTGGCTGCTGGTCCTGGAGAAAGTGGATCCTTTGGGCCTGGGGGCACCAGTGAAACCGATGGCGGCGGAGTGTCTGGAGCTGAAGGGCCAGGTGTAGACGGTCTTGGGGGTATGTACAGTGGGGGCAGGTCTGGTTCATCCTCGGGATCTCCGGCTAGGATTTGTGGAGACTCGGGCTTTTGCTGATTTTTACCCAGGGGGAAGGGTCTGAGCAATTCCTAGCCAGGAGTCATTGTACGGAAACTGGTCAGGGTGTCCTGGTTCTCCTGTTACAACTCGCCATACTCGATGAATCGTTGGGACATCCAGTGTCCCTTCTGAAGGCCACCCGACATCAAAGGTGGGCCATTCCAATTCACATAGGGTTCTCAACTTGCTGGGGTTCATTCTGACTCCATAGTCTCCCAAAAACCCCTTTCCCCGAACGTTGGGGCTGGTAAGCGGTGTGGAGTCTCCACGTGATGTTGAGAGATTTGGTCAAGACCTGTATGATGTCTGCCACAGATGCAGGTCCATTGTCACTTTGTATTGTTAATGGCAGGCCGAACCGGGACATGATCTCCTGCAAGAGGACTTTAGCTACTTCCCGGCTTTGCTCCGTCCTGGTTGGGAGGGCTTCAACCCACCCAGAGTATATGCATGCTATTAAGCATCATTCGCTCATTACTCAGCACAGTGCTGGAAGCTGACTGATGTAGGAGTGCTTCTTGAGAAGGGCCTCTAATGCAGCTTTTCCCAGATGAGTGAGTTGGTGGTGTTCCTTGATTAGATGCCCTCCAGTTGCTGTTGGAACAAAGATGCGCCCATCTGGCACCATCCACCATCCCTTTTCAGTCAGGGTGGCCCCCTCCGCCATGGCCCATTCCTTTTCCATTTTAATATAACTGGGCGGAGGGACTTCTTCCGGGGGTGTCAGGGCCATGGTGAGGGAAGGGGCTCTGCCCATGTCCTCACTGGCTGCAGTCTTGGCTGCCTCATCTGCCAGACGATTTCCCCACGCTATGGGGTAATCTCCTTTCTGGGGTCCCTTACAGTGCAGGATTGCTATTTCCTTTGGAAGCCAGACAGCTTCGAGGAGTCTCAGTATCTCCTCCTTGTTCTTGTTAGCTTTTCCTGCTGCAGTTAGGAGGCCCCTTTCCTACAGTAGCAAAGGCGTACCGAGAGTCAGTATAGATGTTGACTCACTTGCCTTCACTGAGGGCTCAGGCTCGGACTAATTCAGCCTGTTGAGCTGACCATCGAGCTGGTAATGCCTTAGCTTCTAGGACTTCAGTGGTTGTGGTTACTGCATAACCCGCTTTCCGGGCACCTTCTCGTAGGTAACAGCGTGAGCTCTGGATTCTTTACGGCTTGATCCCGCAGATCTGGACAGCTCGCGTAGACTTCATCAGTCACCTCGGAGTAGTCATGGTCTGGTTCCCCCTCTTCCGTGGGGAGAAAGGTTGCTGGATTTAATGTCCTTACTGTTTCGAGGGTGACCCGCGGGTTTTCGCAGAGGAGCCTTGGTATTGTGCTAGCCGAGAGCTGGGAAGGAAGTGGTGTCCCTGAGGGTTCATGAGGGACACAACTCCATGTGGGACCTTGATGTTAAGTTCTTGCCCCAGGGTAAGTTTGTCTGCCTCCCTGATGAGCAGGACTGTGGCTGCCAGCACCCTGAGGCATGGTGGCCATCCGCTGCCATGGGGTCCAGCTTCTTTGACAGGTAAGCAACTGGCCGTTGCCAGGGTCCAACAGCCTGGGTGAGTACCCCGAGTGCTATTTTTTCCTTTTCAGTCCAGGCAGGGGGTTCTTGATCTGGTCCCCCTAAGAAATCGTAAAGGGGTCTTGCTACTGCGGAGAACCCAGGGATCCAGATGCGGCAGAATCCTGCAGCCCCCAGGAATTTCTCGTAGGCCCCTTTTTGTCTGGGGCTGTGGCAGGGAGATGATGATCCTTTTCCTCTCAGGCCCTAGTTCTCTTTTCCCTTGGGTGAGGAGAAAACCAAGGTATCAGACCTGTTGGCAGATTTGTGCCTTCTTCCATCAGGCTCAGTATCCTGAGTCTGACAGTTTTTTTTCTGAGCCACTTAGGTGCGCCGGGGGGTTGCTTTTTAAACACACAGCTTCTGGGATATTCCCCCCATCCCACCCATTTTGATTCAGTGGGTTTGCATAGGCCAGATACTATTACACCCAGTGCTCATCAAAACACGTGCCCTCCGTAATACCCATCACCTGGCTACCCCATCCCCCAAATAGGTGTCTTTTTAACAGGGCCCTCCCAGGTGATGCTTATAAAGGAGGTTTGGAAACAATGTCTAAGCCTTGCTGTTCAGAGTGCGGCCAGTGGACCAGCAGGATCTGTATCGCCTGGGGTATCTTGTTTAAATTGCCAATGTCAGCCCTACCCCCAGACAAGCAGAATCTGCCTTTGAACAGTGTAGCAGCTTGGCTTTTGATCTGACCTCTTTCTTTTCATTTTAGTAGGGTTCCTCCCCCAACTTCCTTACCCCAGTCCTCTCCAGAAGAGCCAGTGTCCCCTGCCTCTCCCTGAGACCTGTCCTATCCCTGGGGGATGCTCGCCCCAACCTCCCACCACCCAGAGACAACAGGGAAAGGTGCTCTGTGAAGCTAAAGAACCTAAACAGCTGTAGATCTTGCCTTGTTAGAGAAGGCCGACTTGACTCCCAGGTCCTCCGACCTCTGCAAATTCCAGACCCCAGGCCTGTCTCATGATCTCAATTTTGGTTGGTCTGCTTTGTCTCCATCAAGTGTTCTGAAGCATTTCACACACGACTGGGCTTAGGCAATTTGGCCAGACCTTTGATCATGGTCTCTAGAACCGTAGGTTTACTCTGCCCTGACCCCATGGTGATGTCCCCGTGTGCGGTGGCGCAGAGACAGACAAAGGGGTGGGGGATGCCTCCTGAGATGAGGAGACCAATCAGATGCCCGTCTGGCCGTGTCCTGAAGGAGCTTAGGTGAGGCTTAGCCATAGTGGTCTCAGCGTTGTGACTTACGATCGGAAACTATTCTTATCCCGCCATATACCGTATGCCGTTCACCATGGAATCGCAGACGGGCCCACTCAGGCTCAGCAGGCTTCTGGGGACCTTAAGGGTGCCGGCCTGTGGAGTCACAGAATCAGTCTGCTTGAGCAAGCCAGGTTGGACTGCACACTCACTCACACATTCACTCCAGAAGTTATTACATTCCCTCCCTGGGAATCCCTACCTGGGAGACCTCTAAGAGGTCTCTGGGAGGTGATCAGCCTCCCCTTCCACCCCAATGGGGGTGGGCCTGTCTGGGTTCTGGGGGCCCCAGGCCTTACGGGAATCCAACGTGGGGACCAGGTTCTCACCTCCAAGTCTCCGCGAGTCCAGCAGGAACAGTGGAGCGGGGCCCAACCTGAGGTGAGCGGGGCGGGAGACTGCCGAGTATTAGGGAGCGCCTTCTCCGTTACGATCCCTCGTTCCGCCACTGCCCCCTCCGTTGCCCCCAAACCAGCGGCAACAATGGGCCAGCGCGGTTGGGTTTCCCGGTCAGGGAACCAAATGTTACAGAACCTGGACTGGATCACCTGATGGAAGAACCAAGCGGCACTCGGAGATCTTGGAGGATAGGAGGTTTATTAAACGCCGGTGGGCTCAGAGGAGAGTGGTCTCCAAAGGTCTGAGCCCCGAGCACAAACAAAGGGGGCAATTTGTACACTTCTACATCCGCATACTGGGCAGTTTGGGCGCGTACGCGAAGTGGGGCAGGGAGAAGGACCCGGACTCTCTCGCTGGCTTGGTCGGCCATCTTAGGCCACAGGTTTTCCTTATCACATTGAGCTGGTAGAAGGGACAGAGACATGCTCCTAATGTTATCCTCTGAGCACCTGGATCCGACTATGCCTGAAGCTAAATACATTTTAGCATACCAATAAGTTCCATCTCCTTTGTTGTTGTTGTTCTGTTGAAGTCCATTTGAAATTGGGGTTCTGACACTTGCAGCAGGGTCAACACTAACAAACTGACCCCTCAGTAAAAGAACCTGTTTACATCTGCCTCACATCTCAGGTGTGTTTGATTTGGGGGAAAATTAAGGAGGCTGGAGACACTGTTAACAACGGCGGCTAACCTTACTGAGCACTTCTTAGGTACCAGGTACCCTGGACACACCACAGGTATTTCAATGTCCTCAGAGCTACCCCATGAGGAGGCTACCCCAATTACCTGGCATGTTTTATTTATTTATTTTTTTAAAGATTTTATTTATTTATTTGAGACAGAGAGAATGAGAGACAGAGAGCATGAGAGAGAGGAGGGTCAGAGGGAGAAGCAGACGCCCTGCCGAGCAGGGAGCCCGATGCGGGACTCGATCCCGGGACTCCAGGATCATGACCTGAGCCGAAGGCAGTCGCTTAACCAACTGAGCCACCC